GATGGCTCAGCGGTTAAGAGCACTGGCTACTCTTCCAGAGGACCCACATGGCAGCTCACAACTGTCTGTTGCTCCTGTTCCAGGGAATCCAACACCCTCACACAGACACACATGTGGGCAAAACACCAATGAACTAAAACACAAATACATTTAAACATTTTACTTCCTATGAAGTCTGGAGATATGATGAGCACTTAACTGCATAACCATTTGTAACTTCAGCTTCAAGGGATCCCACATCTTCTGGTCTCCAAGGGCATCCACATAAACTTGGCTTTCACTTACGTAGATACACACTAAAAAACACAAACAACCAAAAAAAAAACAACAACAAAAAACTACTTGTAGGCAGCATCAGCACTCCCCTGTCACTTCCTGGAAGGCCAGGAACCAGAGCCTGGATAGCCCACTAGGATAGAACCTGCATGACTGACAAAAAAAAAAAAAATGAGTAGAATTACTCCTAATGACATTCTGCTCTACTCATATTGGTGGGTGTGTGGCCCAGTTGTCATCAGAGAGGCCTCATCCGGCAACTGACAGGAGCAAATGCGAGACCCAGAGCCAAACATTAGGCAGAGCTCGGGGAACCCCACAGAAGGGGAGGAGGGAGGACTGTAGGTGCAACAGGGCTTGAGGACACAATGAGAACATGGCCCACAGAATCAACTAAACAGGGCTCATGGGGTTTCACAGAGACTGAAATGACAACCAGGGAGCCTGTATGGGTTTGGCCAAGGTCCTCTGCGTATATGCTATGGTTGCTTAGCTTGGTCTTCTTGTGGGACTCCTTACGGTTGTCTTTGACTCTCTTGTCTGCTCTTGGGACCCTTTCCTCCTACTGAGCTGATTTGTGCAGCCATGAGATGAGGGTTTGTGCCTAGTTTTATTGTAGCTTGTGTTGTGTTCTGCTGGCATCCCCCCTGGAGGGTTTGCTATTTTCTGAAGAGAAATGGGAGAGTGAGTTTGGCAGAGAGGAGAGGTGGTATGAGGTGCTGAGGGGAGTGGAGGAAGGGGAAGCTTCTGTTGGAGTGTGAGATATGAGAGAAGAATACATTTTTAAAAAATTACTTCACATGCTAAAAAAAAACTATTAGAGAAAAACTAGTAAATGGTTGTGTAATGTGTTGCTTCTTTAATATGCATATTAAAATTATTTAGCATGCATATTATTTAAAATTAAAAATTTTGTATTAAATTTTTTTTACATTTAAATGTTGAGTATTTAAAAACTTCATACACATATTAGAAATAGGTAGTTTTTCCCTTTTTTTTTTTTGAGACAGGGTTTTCCTGGCTGTCCTGGAACTTGCTTTGCAGACCAGGCTAGCCTCCAACTCACAAAGGTCCAAGTGTCTTTGCCTCCCTTGTGCTGGGATTAAAGGCATGCTTTCCCATGCCTGGCATGGGAATAGATTTTTAAACAGTAATTTCTTTCAAAATGTTTATATTTTGAGAATTTCACATGTGAATATTACATTTACATCATTCCTGCTTCCCTCTCCTTCAACTCCTGCCATTTTCCTCCCACTCCTGACATGTGTGGCCTCTTATTATTTAATTATAATTGGCATGTGTGTGTGTAAGTTTATAAGTACAACCTGCTGAGATAATTTAGTGTTGCCCGTATACGTTTAGGGCTGACCTCTTGGGATTGGGTAACCTATCAGGGGCTTGACTCTGGAGAAGATTGATTCTCTTTCTCCTAGTAACCATTAATTGCCTGTAGCTTTTCTAGGGTAGGTCTTGTTAAACACGAATTTCTAATTTAAACCACAAACCATTGTTCTGTAATGAGGCCTCATATAGACAAAGATTATTATTGTAAATATTGCTTGTATTAAAAATTATTCTGGCCGGGCGTTGGTGGCACACGGCTTTAATCCCAGCACTTGGGAGGCAGAGGCAGGCGGATCTCTTTGAGTTCGAGGCCAGCCTGGTCTACAAAGTGAGTTCCAGGACAGCCTCCAAAACAATACAGAGAAACCCTGTCTCGAAAAACCAAAAAAAAAATTATTCTGTATGTGCATGGTGTGTGTGTGTGTGTGTGTCCTTGTATGTGTGTGCACGTGTGTCCTATTGTGCATGTGGAGGTCAGAGACAACCTGAGGTCCTCTTATCCACTGTGTAGGTCCCATGAATTTAACTCAGGTCATCAGGCTTGGTGGCAAATGTTCTCACTTGAGGAGTCATCTTGCTGTCCCCTAAACTGCTTTTTTTTTTTTTTTGAGACAGAGTCTATGTAATCCTGGGACTTGCTATGTAGACCAGGCTGTCCTCAAACTCACAGAGATCTGCTTGCTTCTACCTCCCAAGTACCATAAACGACTTTTTTGAGTTTATTTTTCATGCAAATAATGATACTCTACCTGTATAATACATACAAAATGTGCTGTGTTTTTATAATGATATTTTACATATTATGAAGTGTTAAGTATAAAGTAAAACACAAACTAATGAGGTGGATATTTAGACCATCTTGGGCTGCTGTGTTTTACTTTGTAGAGGCCAGCATCAGAAGTGAGAGATATCGCCCAAGTTAGCAGTTATTTTCCCTTTTACTCATTTGAAGTTGGGTATTTTCTGTTTTCTATCTTTTCTAAGGGTGTGAGGTGTGTGTGTGTGTGTGTGTGTGTGTGTGTGTGTGTATTCTAGTTTTTGGTTCCTTGATGCTATTTTAGAGAAATAAGCTATCCCTGATGTGATGGGTTGATTTGCGTCCACATTTAGGTGCTGAAATCCTAACCTTGAGGCCGTAGAATATGAGTGTAATTGGATTTAGAGTCTTTACAGAGGGAAGGAAGTCAAAGCGAGGCTTCAAGAGTGGACTCTAATCCAGTGTGGCAGAAGATGTCCTTGTAAGGCCATTGGGTCCAGATGCGTATGGAGGAAAGCAATGTTGCAGGTACAAGGCAGACGGCTGCCTTCAGGTCAAGTCCTGGCAGAGATCTCCTCTTGTCTTGCAGAAAGTCCCAGTGTTTCCAGCATCTTGATCTCAGGCTTCTGGCCTCCAGAGCAGTGAGGGAATGAATTGATTGTTTACATCACTTATTTTGTGGTACTTTGCTATCGTGGCCGTATCAAGCTAATGCAGCAGGTTTAGCAAGAGTCCTGTCTCCTGTAAATCATGTATGCATGTGATGTGTGCCCATGTGTCTATGGCTCTCTCCTTGTTCCTTTGAGGCAGGGTCTCTCACTGAACCTGGAGCTCTCAGTTTTCACTTAGGTTTTGGTCACAAGCCCCAGCAATCCTGTCTCTGCCTATCTTAGTGCTATGGTTACAGGTGTGTTCAGGATCGTGTTTTTTTTTTTTTTTTTTTTTTTTTTTTTGTGGATTCGAGGATCTGAACTCCAATCCATAAGGATGCATAAGCTTGCAAAAAACGAGTGCTCTTAACTGTTAAATCATGTCTCCAGCCCCACCCACAAAGCTGTCTAACTCTCTCTCTCTCTATATATATACACACACACACACACACACACACACACACACACACACACACACACAGAGCTCTCTCTCTGTCTTTTGTCTTCAGAACATCTCCTTCATCCTAGCCCCTTCATGCTGCTTATCCCTGGCCATGACCACTGCACATATAGGGCTGGCTATATAATTTGTGAGACTAACACTAAAGGAAAAATACTAGAAAATGTATAGTTAAATATATTTAAATAATCTCTTAAAACAGTCCAATGCTTCTAAAACTTAATAGAGGACATAGTGGCCTATGAAAAATGACATGACTGCATCAAAACATTTATGCTCATTTTTTTTTGTTTTGTTTTGTTTTGTGACAGGGTTTCTCTATGTAACCCAGGCTGTTCTGGAATTCACTCTAGACCAGGATGGATTTGAACTCACAGAGATCTGCCTGACTCTGCCTCCCAAGAGCTGGGATTAAAGGCGTGTGCCACCATACCTGGCACATTTATACTCTTTTTTGGTGCTGTGCTTTTGTAGTGCTGGGTAGGCCAGTTATCACTGTGACTCCTGGTTTTGCATATATAGTCTCCAGTCTATGGACCCAATGCCTTTAGGCCTGTGGTGAGACAGAACATCCTGGTGGAGAGTAGGAGTACTTGACAGAGCAAGATGCTCCCCTTATGGTGGCCAAGAAGCAACGTGGGACGGTGTTCCAATATCCCTTTCTCTTAGTCACCATTCTATTGCTGTGAAGAGGCACCATGACAATGGCGGTTCTTATAGATGAAAACATTTAATTAGGGCTGGCTTACAGTTTCAGAGGTTCAGTGCATTATCATGATGGTGTGGAGCGTGGTGCCACACAGGCAGACATGGTGCTGGAGAAGTAGCGGAGGGTTCTACATCCAGATCCACAGGCAGCAGGGAGAGAGAGACACTAGGCCTGGCCTGGCCTTTTGAAATCTCAAAGCCACAGTGACACACTTTCTTCAATAAGGCCACACCTCCTAATCCTTCTCAAGTAGTGCCACTCCCGGATGATGAAGCATTCAAATATACGAATACCCCATCCCTGTAAGAGCCCACCTCAGGTGATCTTCCAGCTAAGACCTGTCTCCTAAAGGTTCGATCATCTCCAGTGATACCATGGGCATCACCAGATCTTTAAAATGTGGCCCTTCCAGGTTCAATCTATAGTGACTACACTTCATTAATGTGATACCTTTCTATTTTCTTGGTGCTGAGGGTTCAACTCAGGGCCTCATATATGTCAAGCAAGCCCTTTACCACCAAGCTACATCCTGCCTATTAATGTGATATATTATCAATACAGTATTCCTGGTGGCTCTAGCTGCTTCCAGTTGGTTTAAGAGGCCACAGTTGAGTTTTGTCCTGTGTATCTTCAGGGTCCTATTGATACATGTCCATCTTCAAATTGAAGGGCATGCAGGATTGAGGGAGGCCTCAAAGAACTAAGAAAATGAACAGAGAGACTGTTTGAAAGTCCCCAACATCCCACTGGGTCCCTGACTACAGACACATTCCTTTCCCAGTATGACCTCACAGAGCACAGATTCCACAGCATCCTAGAACTCAAGGATGTTGCGTCTTCAAGCAACCCAGGCGGATGTCTCCCCCCTGATGGTGTGCTGGCTGTGGCAGAGATGAGGGACACTGTGTTCTTCTCCTTTGTTCTCTTCCTGGGCAGCCAGTGGGGCATCGAGCCCCACTCTATTCCTGTGACTGAAGGTACCATCACAAGTATATTGTCATGGCAACTGGAGGGATGGAAGACTCACAGGGAGCCCCAGGCAGACCGGCTGGTGGGCACCTCCTGCAGAGGCTGGGACGGTGAGCCCTCCTCCTCTCCTACTTCCTCTGCTTTCCAAGTTCACCATGAGGCTGGGTTCCTTGGGAGAAGGGGCTATCTTAAGGGAAGTTTTCCTTTCTTGTTTTCTTTTTCTGGCCCACTGAGTTTTTCTACATGTGTTGTATCCTCAAATTCTAGAGCTTCAGAAAATGATTCATACGTAGAAATGTCAACTCTTCATTATAAAATATTTTCAAACATCTCAGAAGTAGAAAGACCAATAGAAAGAATAGCTATGTACAAATCATCCCAATCTTGTTCACACATACGTATTTTAAAAACTAGTATATACTAAGCTGGGTGTGGTGGTGCATGCCTTTAATCCCAAGACTGGGGAGACAGAAGCAGGCAGATCTCTATGAGTTCGAGACTGGCCTGGTCTACAGAGGGAGGTCTACAGAGTTCTAGAAAAAGCTCCAAAACTACACAGAGAAACCCTGTCTTGAAAAATAAAAAACAAAAAAAATCAAACAAAAATTTAGTATGTATTAATTATGCAAACAGGCTCATTATGGAGTTTTTGTACTTGTATGTATTTATATTCATCCATTACATTCTCTTGTTCCCAAACTGCTCTCACAAGTTCTCTTCCTCATTCTAATTAGTCCCTCTTGTAATTTCTTCTCTTTTTTAAAAAAATATCCCAGTGAGTTTCATTAGGCTGCTTTCAGGAGGATGGGTGAGGAGCTGTCTACAGAAGCTCCTGACTAGGGGCATAGACACTGAAGAAAATGTCCCCCCCTCCCCACTGTCATTAACTGCTTATAAATCTTCAGGGAAGGATGAGACTTTGTGAATTTATTCCCCCTCCATGACAGGATGTTGGCCGGCCTAATGTGGAGATTTTGTGCTGATAACCACGACTGCTATGTGTTCAAGGGTGTGATGGCCACATCATGCCTGGGAGTCAGTGTCCCACACATTCTCCACCTTCCTCCAGCGCTTACACCTTTTTCTTCCCTTCTGCAGAGTTCCCCGAGGCTTGGAAGGGATGATGTAGATGTCCCATGTATGGATGAGAATTCAAAACTCACTGTTCTCATCACTTTGACCAATGATGAATCTCTGTAGTCACCCCTGCTCACTGCAAAAAGGAAGATCCTCTGATTGAGAACAGCATGTTCTGTAGACGTAAACACAGTTACTTGACAGGCCCATCCTGACTGTTGAGCAGGGCGATAACAGTAGCTTCCACACCAGAGCCCATGACCTCCCCAGCCATGCATGGGCTTTTGAGCAGGCTTAAGGTACCAGACATGAATTCTCTCCCCTAGAGCAGGCCTCAAATCTATTAGAATCTCGTTGGTTGTCCCCATAACTGACTTGCCACTCTTGTACCAGCGAGTATATTTTGAATGGCTAACTGGAAATGTAGCATGCAGGATCCACCTGAATGAGACTTGATGGCAGGGGCTGTAGAGATGTCTCACTGACTAAGAGGACTTGTGCTCTTGCAGAGAATCCAGGTTTGATTGCCACCACCCACATGGTAGCTCATAAATAATCCATAACTTCACTCCAGGGGATCTGACACATGCACATGTTATACTTACATACGTGCAGGGAAAATTCATACACATAAAATAAAGAGAAAATGACAATGACAATTTCTCCCCAGCAGCCTGAATGGTGCCTTCCAACACTTTGAGGGCCATGGCCGAGAGACACTTCAAGTCTTGCCCAGCTTCATTTCTCTGTCTTGCTACCAGAACATGTGATATGGTCAGCAATGGGATCTTACCATTACTGTCCAGCAACCAACAGTAATGACAATTTTCTGTAGTTCTGTGGGTACCTCAGAAGACTTTCCAAACAAATAGTATAGAGGCAGCCCACTCCTGACTCCGAGACTTTCATTTAATAGGCCATGGCTTCTGGAATAACTCTATTCAGACTGTTTTCAAATTCTTATTTTCAAAATTAGCTTACCAAAGGCCAGCAGGATGGCGCAGTGCGTTAGGGTGTTTGCCAACGAGCTTGGTGATATACGTTTGATCCCCAGGACGCACATGGTAGAAGGAGAGAAATGACTCCTGCAAATTGTCCTCTGACCTCTCCACGCGCACATCATGACATATACATGCATACATACGCACATTTTAAAAATAACAAATGTCATGTTTCGTTAGGGCTTTCACACATTGTTAGTTTGGTTGACTTTCCCTCTTTCCCAGCCTCTTCCTCATCACCTTATTGTTCCCATGCCCAGCCTTCCCCTTCTACTCTTTAAAATATTTTAAATTATTTATTTATTTATGTAGTTTTTTTTTTCCCGAGAGGGGGTTTCTCTGTACTGCTTTGGAGGCTGTCCTGGATCTTGCTCTGTAGACCAGGCTGGCCTCAGACTCAAAGAGATCCACCTGCTTCTGCCTCCTGAGTGATGGGATCAAAGGTGTGTGCCACCAACACCCAGCTCTACTTTTTTTTAAATCAGTGAATTCTATCCTCCTCCTACTTTATTTCTGAGACACGGCCTAACTATATAGCTCTGGCTATCCTAAAACTCGATATGTAGACAAGCATGACTTGAACTCACAAGAGATCCACCTGCCTCTGCCTCCCAAGCGCTGGAATTAAAGATGTGCGCCTCCATGCCCAGATCTTCCTTCCTATTCTTTTTTTTGTTGTTTTTTTTTTTTTTTTTTTTTTTTCGAGACAGGGTTTCTCTGTGGCTTTGGAGGCTGTCCTGGAACTCGCTTGGTGGTCCAGGCTGGTCTCGAACTTACAGAGATCCGCCTGCCTCTGCCTCCCGAGTGCTGGGATTAAAGGCGTGCACCACCAATGCCCGGCTCTTCCTTCCTATTCTTAAAAAAAAGGTATTTATTTTATTAAAAAAATTGTATGTGGGGTGGTGGTGGTGGTGGTGGATGTTGGTATGTGCACATGGGTGCAGGAGACTGTGGAGCCCAGAAGTGGGCATCAGCTCCACTGGAGTTGGAGTTACTGGCAGGCTGTTGTGAGCCACCTGGTGTGGGTGTGTGAAGAGAACTCAAACCCTCAGGAAAAGCAGACTCTTTGCTTCCATCTCGTGAGCCCCTTTCTAGTTTCCTATGCTCCATAAACACAGACTCCCACATAAATGTACACACGTGAAGATCAGAAAAATAGAGTCCTCATGTGAGAGATAATGTGCGGTGTTTTGTCTTTCTGGACCTGGTTACTTAATATATTTCTCAGTTCCATTCATTTTCCTGCCAAGATCGTAATTTCATTTGTCCTTATGGCTGAATAAAATTCCACTGTGTGCATGGCCATATTTTCATTATCCATTCATCTATTGGTGGACGTCTAGGCAGATCCATTTTCTTGCTAGTGTAAATAAAGCAGCCATCAACACAGATGAGCAAGTAAGGATGCTGTAGCTGTGCCATTGTAAGTCTCATTTAATTTATTTATTTATGCAGAACCTCCACCTGACTTCCATAGAGGCTGCACCAATTTACACTCGCACTGATACATTCCCTTTCTCCACATCCTTACCAGAATTTGCTTTCTAGCTGGGATGAGGATGACACAGGATCTCAAAGTAGTTATGGTCTGTATTTCCTTGATGGATAAGGATGTTAAACACCTGAAAAAAATATTTATCGGGCCGTTGTTCTCCTCCTCTTTCTCCTTCTTAATTTTTTGAGACAAGGTCTCCCTATGTGGCCCTGGCTGTCCTAGAACTTGCTATGTCAATCAGGTTGGCCTCAAACTCAGAGATCCACCTGCCTCTGCCTCCTGAGTGCTGGTCCTAAAGGTATGTGCCACCATGCCCAGCCAACACAGCCAAATTTTGGATTGGGTTGTTCCTTCTTTTTGTTTAGTTTTTTTTGGGTTCTTTTTATATTCTATGTATTAATCCTGTACCATATGCATAGTAGGCAAAGAATTTCTTCCAGCTGTCTTTCCCAATGTGCACACACTGGCTGTCAATGATCCTGACAATTCTAATATTATAATAGTGACATGACATCTTTGGGGGGCAGGGTCTGCCTGTTCTTTTAATACTGGCTCTAAAGCCTGTGTAGTGTTGCAGTCAGCTTAAATACGCCAGAGAAAAGACACGAAGCACTTTTTGTAAGTGCTAAGACAAATGTTCTTGACTATAGGAAGAAAAGAATTAATGTTGAGGTTGGTGTGATGCACAGTTGGGATGAACTGAACTCGGGCGCTGTGCTCTGCCACCCCTCCCCCTGCCCCTCTCCCCTCCCCCACCCCTCCCCCCGTCCCCCCCCCCCCAGTCAATCTTCTATCCATGCAATTGTGAGGAAGGCAAACAAAATCCGTGCCTGTTTGGTATTATACCACAGATGGCAAGAGTTACGGCCACCTTATATTATAAGTAACAGTTAAAATGGAAAAGACAAACCGGGTGTTGGTGGCTCACTCCTTTAATCCCAGCACTCGGGAGGCAGAGGCAGGCGGATCTCTGTGAATTCCAGACCAGCCTGGTCTACAAGAGCTAGTTCCAGGACAGCCTCCAAAGCCACAGAGAAACTCCGTCTCGAAAAACTAAAAAATAAAAAATAAAATGGAAAAGACAGCATGTGTACATGTGAGAAAAAAAGCTTTGGTTCTGTCCACAGCTTCAGGTAGCCATTGGAGTCTTGGATTGAATCCTGCATGGTGGGGTGAGACATATGGATGGAAGTTATTTGTTTTTGAGACAGGATGGTGTTGTTCAAACTGGCCATGGCCAATCTTGTTTCTTACACAGGTGCGAAGAACAGCCTTTCCTCAAGTTCAAAGCATCTCGATGAAGATCTGGCTAAATTATTTGGTAAGTCGTCCTGCGGAACCCGAGGCTGGGTTCCTAGAAGTCACGTGCTTGTCTCAGGTGACTCGTTCCTGCTGGTTTGGGCAGGAGGGAAGGCGAGTGTTCTGCCCTGTGGCTAAGAATCGGTTCCTCTAAGTGCCTAGGTGCTAAAAAAGTTAAGCAAACGGTGTGATAAAGCAAACCATGGTAAGGCCTCTGCTTTTCCAATCGGGGCCGGTGGTGGAGTCAGCCGCGCCGTCTGGAAGGTCACTGTGGCAGTGACCCACCTCGGCTCTCCACATCACGCCTGCCAGGATGATTTCTGCTTAGCAGAGAGTATGAGGCCCCAGACTGAGCTGGGAACCCCCAGAGGGACGTTAAAGGACACTTGTCGATGTCCTCGGTGGTAGACTCAGCGGAGGGATATTTTTACGGTGCTAGGAGTCAAACCCAGAGCCTCATGCTTGCTAGGCAAGCACCCTACCGCTGAGTCTTGTGAAGTTTAGCTGTTTGTGCTGTAGAATATCGTTTTAAGGTTTATGCTGTGGAACATTTATCTAGCCACGTAAAGATGTGTTGCATTTGTCTAACTCTGTGAAGCTGTGTTACTGTGTCTGTCTAAAACACCTGATGGTCTAATAAAGAGCTGAATGGCCAATAGCGAGGCAAGAGCAAGGATGGGCGGGGCTGGCAGGCGGAGAGAATAATCAGAAAGAGAAATCTGGAAGGAGAGAGGAAAAAGGAACGAGAGAGCGAGGATAGGAGGATTTCAGGGGCTAGCCACCCAGCCAGCCAGTGAAAGTAAGATTTACAGAAGAAAAGGAAAAAGCCCCGAGGCAAAAGGTAGATGGGATAATTTGAGAAAAGCTGGCTAGAAGCAAGCCAAGCTAAGGCCAGGCGTCTATAAGTAAGAATTAGTCTCTCTGTATGTGATTTATTTGCCTGCTGGGTGGCGGACCCTCCAAAAGAGCCTAAGAGTAAAGAGTAAACAACCAACTACATGTTTGCTGTTGTTTTGAGACAGGGTTTCACTGTGTAGCTCTGGCTGACCTCCGACTCAGAGCTCCGTCTGCCTCTGCCCCCAGTTGCTGGGACTAAAGACGTGGACCAGCAGGCCCAGTCAGTCAAGTGCTAAAGCCTTCTGGGAGACTCCAGGCTGAGAACTGCTGGGGGAGCAGAGGTTCAGGGAACAGTTCTGAACTACAGTGGTCTGCAGAGGGGTGACAGAGATACCCACCTTCTGCAGAGTGGAGGTTCTTAGCCCTTCCTGGCAGGGCCCTCTTCTTCCTCCTGAGGTCCTCTCAGCCTTGGGCTGGCATTCTGCCTGCTTGGGCCCAGCATTTTTCTTCACCCCTCAGCCCAATTCTGGCTTTGCTGCTCTTGGTTAATATGTCAGCATGTCTGGTCATGTCTGGTATACCCTCGTACATGTCTAGATGGCCCAGTGACACAAACCAAGAGTGCTTCCGTTACCCTCTGTCAAAGAAGCTCAGGCCACAGCCAGTTGCTTTGAGATCATCTATCTGAACCTTCCCTGGTGATTGTGTCTCTTGGCAGCAGGATGGTGTCTGCCATTGCAGACATCACTTGCAGACCCCCTCCTTTCCAGGCCTGAGGAAGAAGAGATAGGGAGTGCAAGCTCAGCATTTTAAAATATTCTGTCTAAACTGGGCATGGTGGTCCACACCTTTAAACTCAGCACTCGGGAAGCAGAAGCAAGCTGACCTCTGTGAGTCTGAGGCCAGTCCGGTCTCCATAGTGAGTTCTAGGACAACCAAGGGTATATAGGGAGACCCCATCTCAGCCACCCTCCAAAGTAAATAAATAAAATTCTCTATCTAGAGAAGCAATACTCTTCCTGGGTCTCAGTTGTCTTTTGAGGACGTCTGTGTGTTGCATGGCCTTGACCTATCTGCCAGGGAGGGTGGGAAAGGAAGTTTCTCTGGGGTGTGGACTTCGAGGCTTCAACCGCAGACGAGATGCAGGAGGAGGTGAGAGTATCTCAGATGGAAAAGCATAGACTGTGGCAGAGAGCTCATTCTTCTGTCCTGTGTGAATGGCACGTTTCCTGGGTGTCTCGCCTTTGTCCCGTTTTTATCCACATATTCCACAGGGCAGAACACAGACCGCGTTCCCAGCTGCTCCGGGGTTAGTGGCGAGGTATTTGACCCCAGACCCTGTGTCCAGTGCCTTACAGAGACATCAATTTCCACAAAAGTTCTCTGAGTTAAACCCTCCCATCCCGCTGCTGTGAGCACCAAAGGCCTAAGAGTTGAAGTTATTTGCCCAAGATCATGTTCTGGCAGGCATCACACTGGGATTTAGGTCTGCGCCTATTGGCTCCAAAATTATGGTGAGCTTCATAGTGTTAAATAAAGGAAAAGGAGAATGGCATAGGTTGTTGGTTCATGAAAAGAGCTGGCATGGAATTGCTCTCAGGAATGAGGCTCATTGGGAGATAGGGCCTCCAGACCATATAGAACCTAGCCGCAGGAGAGCATTAGAAAGGGACCATGCAGCAGGTTAAATCCAGCATATTGGGCCTTAGGCAAGGCTGGAGAGAGGGTTAAGAGCACTGGCTGCTCTTCCAGATGTCCTAGTTCAAATCCCAGCAACCACATGGTGGCTCACAGCCATCTGTAATGAGATCTGATGCCCTCTTCTGGTGTGCAGGATAAATACAGATAGAACACTACATTAAAAAGTCTTAGAAAAAAAGTTGGTATAAAAAATGGTGATCAAAAGCTACTAAGGGAAGAAAGGGCTTTGTTTTGGCTTATGGCTCCTGAGGGATAGAGTCAATAATGGCAGAAATGGCATGACATGGCAGTAGGAGCAGGAAGCTGGCTGACCACACACACACACACACACACACACACACACACACACACACACACACACACACATACCACATACACACTCACACATACATACAACACACACACATACACACATACCACACACACACACGATTGACTAGAAAGTGGGGTGAAGTTATAAACCCTCAAAACCTGCCCCCAATCATGTACTTCCTTTAGCTAGGTTCTACCTCTTAAAGCAGCAGTTCTCAAAAATATTTACATTATGACTCATAATAAAAGGGCAGTTATGAAGTAGCGGTGAACATCTTTTTTTGTTTGTTTTTTTGTTTTTCAAGACAGGGTTTTCTCTGTATTTTTTTGGAGGCAGTCCCAGAACTCGCTCTGTAGACCAGAGATCCGCCTGCCTCTGCCTCCCGAGTGCTTGGGTTAAAGGTGAACGCCACCAACGCCCGGCAGCAGTGAACATCATTTTATGGTTGGGGTCACCACAGCATGAAGAACTGTATGAAAGGGTCGCAGCGTTAGGAAGGTTGAGAGTCGCTGTTTCTGTAATCTCCCCAAACAGCACCGCTAATTGAGACCATCAAACACACAAGCCTGTGGGAGGCATTGCTCACTGAAACCACAGCAGGGGAATAGCTTGAAATAAGAGTAAGGAAGTCATCATGACAGGATGATGGGGAGGCCCAGAGAAGAGTCTTGAGAGAAATCCCTTCAGTAAGGAAATCTCGCTTTTATACATGTTTCAGAATATGTGCACGTGTAGTAGGAAGTTCTACCCATGCGATTTAGTCTTGGTGTAGCCTACATGACAGGGAGCGTGGAGGAGCTAGGTACTGGGTTGAACCATTCATTAGGAGCTGTAAAAACCACAGCATAGCATGGGACAGGATAGCTTCTTAACTTTACATCCCAGGATAGCTCTAGGAAGGGTGAGGGTTGAGGGGGTTGGCAAGGGGTGGACTTTTCTTCAGGTTGTGAGAATCTGGCCTCTTATAGTAGCTAGCATCTTTAACAAGCTAGGATGTTAGGCCCTTGACCTAACACCTGGAGAGGCAATAAGGTCTCAAATGAAGAAATGATGTGCGTCTTGTAGAGATAAGAAAGCATCTTTGTTTGTACACAGAGCAGCGTGGGAACAGTCTCAGAGGTAGGTCAGCACAACACCAGAAACTAGGAGGAAAACTTTGACGTGGGGCAGAGTTTCTAGCCATCTAGAAACTTGGTGCTTGGTGGGTGGTGCTCTCTGCCTGGGATATCTGGTGCAACCCTGGTTTTGCAGTTGTGGCGGCATCTTAGCTGAGCATCCTGTGCCCACTGAGTTGGAGTCATCCGTTCGCGCATCCATGGACACACTAGGTAGGTACAGAGCAGGATATACCTGGTGTATTGCTGGGGCTGACTGTTGGTTCTGCTTGCTTCTCTTCAGATGAGATCCTGCTGCAGGTGTTTCCCAACAATCTGGATGACATAACAAAAGATGCAAGAACAGCTGGCAGACTGATCACCTGGAGTGACGTGAATGAAAGCAAGTATCTGTCAACGGTCTCAAAGTGCATGTGTTTTCTCAGGCTGTGCTGTATTGGATGTGCTGTGGCTTGAGCATCCCAGAACCCAGCCATTGGCGGGGGCACTGCCAAGCTGAGATGTGAAGAAAGAGAAGTCAGAAACCCTCACTGTGGCTTTCATTACCTATGGGGTGTGTGCTGTAAAGTGTGCCTGCCTGTGCTGCTGCCTCCTCCTCCTCCTTTCCTTCCTCCTCTCCCCCTCCTCCTCCTCTCCCCTCCTCCTCCTCTCCCCCCTCCTCCTCCTGTGGTTCCCGTTATCCCTGTTGTGCAGAGTCATTCAGGCCCTGTCACTGTGGATGTTGTGCAAAGAATGGAATCTAATTTTCAGCGGGGCTCCTGTTCCTGGTAACACAAGCTAGGCGTAGTGTTACAACTGTCTTCTTGTCCACACTTTATAGCTTACTGCCCAGGAATGCCCAAGCCACTGGTCTGGGGTACAAAGCCTTCTCACACACTCCCTCATCACTTCATCCCTGCCGTAGCCTTTGCAAACTATTTGCCCAGAGCAGCACAGCTGATTTCTCCATTGACACTCGCGCCCAAATGCTAAAGCTAAGAGAAAACAGCTGGCCACGTATACAGAACAAAGCCATATTAAAAAAAAAAACCCCGTGCACATTAGCCCTAAATCATAAGAATAATAGAGAAGGCCCTCCCCCATTAAGAGGGAGATTGAAAAATGGGTCATTACTTATCAAAATAAAGCCAGAAACATGTGTTGAAACTACACTTATATAAGTAAAGCCATTTTGTAGCTAATGATCCCGCCAATGAATTTCTCAATGGCCACTCAATAAGGGCCACTCGTGAGTACTTTTTCTGCACAGTCCTGCCAGCTTGCCCTGCAGCAGGTTTTATTATGTTCCCTTAGTACAATACGACATGTTTTCAGCAAAATGCTTAAGGATTAAATGTACTTGGTCCTAAGGACTCTCCCAGGTCTCACTAATAGAGAGAACCGTGCCTTTGTCATTTATTGGCTCAAACAGCCCTGCTTGGCGTCATCTGGTACCTACCACCCAGGCTCTTCTTCCGGGTTTCTTCCATAGTTAGAGCCAGTAGAGCCAGTGTGTGCACACAGATCACTCAGTGGCTGTGCATATGGTCTGTCAGGAAACCGGGAAATGACCTCCGCTAGGCTCTGTGGTGAGCTTCAGACCCCCTGTTTAAAAATGCTTCTACACACATTTATTTGTTTGGTGTGCGTGTGTGTGTGTGCGCGCGTGCGTGCGTGCACATGCATGGTGTGTATGAATTGGCTATGGTGTGCGTGTGGAATTCAGAGGACAACTTTCAGGAGTTGGTCCCCTCCTTCCGTGTGGGTCCCGGGGATTGCCCAACAATGCCTTGACCTGCCGAACCATATTTTAGGCTCAAAGCTTAGATACTTGCAGATACTTCATAGATGTCCTGTGCCACTTAGACGAGGAGAGCACAGGGTAACTGGGATGGTTGCTTCTCAACTCAGCAGAATCTAGAACCATCTAAGAGATGGGCCTCTGGGCATGCCTGTGCCGGATTATCTTGAATATACTAATTGATGCGGGTGGGACCATTCCCTGGGCTGGGGATGCTGGACTGTGTAAGGTAGAGAGAGCTAGTTGAGCAATACAAAGCGTCTCTTTTGTAACAGAGCGTCTAAGTGTGAGGAGCCGGCACCCTGCTCCTGCCTCGGGTCTCCTGCGCTGTAACAGACTGTATCCCTTTAGAGGTACAAGCCAATACTAATCCTTTCTCCCTTAAGTTGCTTTGGTCAAAGTCATTTTTCCACAGCAGCGAGAAAGTGACCAAGACACCAGTTCCACAACTGTTCCTCTCGAAATACCTTGTAGAGGAGTGGGACTTCGGAGAGACTTGGTGTAGATTGGAGGGAAGATTTCAGCACAGCTAAAGTTTGTTTCCCCACAGCTCATCACAGCCCGAACAGCTTCAACAATTCTGAATTTGCATCAAGTTCACACAAGCAAGAGGAACATTTGGCTAAGATATTTGGTAAGTCACCTCCTCCCGTGAAAACCTTAGGTCGTATTTGAAGAAGTCTCCTGCTTGTCCTTGGCTGTCTCTTAGGTAATGCATTCCTGCTGCTTCAAGGGAAGGTAAGCGTGCTTGTGGCCTTGTGGTTAAAATCAGTTCCTCTGTCACAGTCCCAAGAAAACCAACAGAAAGCAGGATGCAAACACTGAGAAAAGACCCTGCTCCTCAGAGGGTGCCAGATGGTGGCAGCAGAGCGTGTGAGGGTGGCCTGGGAGATTGTGGCAGGCCTACCTGCCTAAGTGCTTACACTTGGGTGTGTGGGAAGACCTTCACATTAGTTTGGAAGTGCCGCCTCATCCTTCTACTCTGAGACTCTGAATTGAGAGAGAGGGAAAATCCAGATGGAACTCAACAGGCATCTTACCCACACAGAAGCAGAGCTGGCAAGAATGGTCTTTCTTCTTTTCTCTTTTTCTTTTCTCTTGTTTTGTTTTGTGACCAGGTTTCTCTGTGTGGCCTCAGCTGTCCTAGAACTAGCTCTGTAGGCCAGGCTGGTCTGGAACTCACATAGATCAGCCTGTCTCTGCCTCTCAAGTGCTGGGACTAAAAGTGTGTAACATCACTGCCAGGCTAGGTCTTATTTATTTCATCATTGTAAGTAAGTATTTTCTCTGAAAGGCATAAAGTTTGACATATAAAAATAAAATCTCACTTCAATTATACAAAACTATTTAATCTTTAGCATTTATATTAACTAGTATACTAACAATGTTATAATGTAGATGTTATTTTTAATTTTTAAATTCTTCATACAATATATTTTGATCCTATTCTTTCCCCTTTCCAAATTCCTCCTAGATCCCTCCTTCCTATCCACCCAACTGTTCTTTCTTTCTCTTAAACACACACACACACACACACACTCTCTCTCTCTCTCTCACACACACACTCTCTCTCTCTCACACACACACACTCTCTCTCTCACACACACACTCTCTCACACACACACTCTCTCTCACACACACACTCTCTTACACACACACTCTCTCACTCACTCACACACATATACACACACACTCTCACACACACACTCTCTCTTACTCACTCACACACACATACACACACACACACTCTTTCTCTCTCTCACACACACACACACAAATACACACAATTAATAAACTTTAGCCCATTTCATGTTGGCCAACTAACCCTGAGCATGGAGTCTGCTCTGTAGTGTGGTTGGTACACCCAGTGGCACTCTATTAAAGAAAACTGATTTTCCTCTCTTGAGTAGCTACCAGTTGCAAATAGCTTCTTAGTTAGGGGTGGGGCTTTACGTAGATTTCCATTTCTCCGTGCTTGGATTTTTGTCCAGTTTGAACTTGTAAATGTCTTGAGTGTCTGATCACAGTCTGAGTTCACAAGTGCATCAATCATACCTGTTGTGTATAAAAACCAATCTTTTCTTGGAGTCATGCACCACCTCTGGCTCTTACAATCTTTCCCTCTCCCCTTCTGCATAGATCCCTGAGGTTTGGGGGGAAGGGCTTCATAAAGACATCCATTTACGCGTGAGTGCTCCAGAGTCTTTCGCTGTCCAGTTGTAGGTCTCCGTGTTTGTTGTCATCTATTGCAAGAAGCAGCTTCCTGGGCCCGAGAGGTGGCTCCGCAACTGAGAGCAGTGGGTGCTCTTGCAGAGGACCTCGGTTTGATTTCAGGCTGCATGGTGGCTCCCAGACGTCCAACTCCAGTCCCAGAGTATCCAGCACTCTTTTCTGGCCTCTGCGGGTACCAGGACTGCACCAGGTGCACAGACATTCAAGCAAGCAAAACACTCATACACATAAATCAAAAATATGTGAATCCTTGAAATTAAAAAAAGAAGCTGCTTCCCTGGTGAGGGTTGAGTGATGGACTGGTCTATGTGTATAGCAATATGGCACTAGTAGCCATTTTATTGCTATGTTCATTTAGCAGAAGTATAGTAGTACGTTTTCCTCTAAGAGTAGTGGTTCTCAACCTTCCTAATGCAACATTCCTAACCTTTTAATTCAGTTCCTCATGGTATGGTGACCCCCCAACCATAAAATTACTTTTGTTGCTACTTCATAACTATAATTTTGTAACTGTTATGAATCATAATGTAAATATCTGTGTTTTCTGATGGACTTCTTTATTTGTTTATTATAAATACTGTGTTCTGCCTGCATGTACCCCTGCGGTCCAGAAGAGGGCACCAGATCTCATTACAGATGGTCATGATCCATCATGTAGTTGCTGGGAATTGAACTCAGGACCTCTGGAAGAGCAGCCAGTGCTCTTAACCTCTGAGCCTTCTCTCCAGCCCGTTTCTGATGGTCTTAAGCAACCCCTGTGAAAGACTTGTTCAGACTTCAGGGATTGTGGCCCACAGGTTGAAAACCACTGCTCTAGGGCATGAGCTATTTGGTCTCAGGTTCTTGGATTCATTTGCAGTGTCAAATATGAATCTCATCTTATGGAGTGGGTCTTAAACCCACTAAAAAGTGGTTGGTTACTCCCATAACATTTGTGCCAATATTGCACCAGAGGTATAACTCTCAGGCAGGTCATTATTGTAGCTCGCAGGATATGGGTGAGCTTAATGATTAGTTTACTGCTCTGGTAGGGTGTATAACACCTTCCAACACTATGAATGTCAGCTAGTAGGGGTGAAGCTTCTAGTTGAGCAATAGCTGGATGTGGTGTCTTTAGTAATATGGTTGTACCACCAGGCTGAGGAGGGTAACCAACAGCATTGCCAATGGCCTGTAATGTTTGGGGAAGGCTATAGGCCAACAAGTCAAAAGATGTAACTCATTCCTGTACTGAAGGTTTTACCTGGTAGCATATCATTTGTATTTGGAGTATTGTCACCCTCACTAGATGGTATGGACTTACCTTATAATGGAGAGAAACGTTCTAAGTAGCTGTGTGGGAGGAGACTTGTCAAATTCCTATAGAGCTTGAAGAGGAGGTGGGCACGATTTGGGGTTATGCTTTGGTTTGGTTGTTGCTTTAGATCATTGGAGGGCTGGGACAGCACGAGTACTGTACTGTGAATCTCTCCAGGCTGCAGAGGCTTCCAAACTACTCTGCTGAGGAGTTTACAGAGGTGAGGCAGGAGAGATGGATGGCTCAGCAATTAAGAGTAGGTACTGCTCTTTCAGAGGACCTGAGTTGGATTCCCATTATCCGTATCAGGCGATCCTGACCATCTGTAACTCCAGCTCCAGGAGGATCCGGGTCTGCAGGCCTCTGTGGGCACCTGCACTCACATGCACACAAGCACGCATGCACGCGTGCATGCATGCACTTGTTTGTGCACCATATGTGCGCGTGCACACACACATGCATACACACACATGCACACACACACACACCACAAATCTTAAAGAAAGCGCAGTAGACAGCATAGGGTAGGCATAATGGCTCAGCAGTTAAAAATGCATGCAACGCAAGTGCTGCAACTGTTTTTCAGTCCCAGAAACCTTTTAATAGTAGATCTGACTCCACAGAGTTATCCTCTGCCCTCCACACCTGTGCTATCTACAGGCGTGCCTGCACTCACATACACATAGATAATAAATAAGACTTTTTTCTCTTCTTTTGGGCGATGAAAACTTATGGACATCTTGGTCAGGCACTGGCTGATCTCGGAGATTGTAAAACAGGGACAGGGCCCATTGCCCACACTTAGGAATACACAATACAAATAGTTTGATAAAATTGCAGATGGGTGGTCCTACCCCTTAATAAGCAAGCAGGGACCAGCAGTTCCTGCGGAGTAGGAGGATTAGATTTCAAGAGTTATGGTTCCTCAGATGTTCACCTCAAACATCGGATTATGAAGCGTACAAAGAAACAGGCCTGCATGTTCTTTCACAGAGAAAGGGAATTAGACATGCCCACTCCCTGAGGAGGCACACTGAGACCATTAGAGTTGTTAACTTACAGGTAGCTTCAGTAGATTGAATGAATAAAGGAAACCACCCAGAGAGAAGAAAACTAGAAAAGCAATGCATGAACAGAATGAGAATATCAATAAAGAGGGAATGTAAACCACCGCTTCATGCCTGTAGCCCTGTCTTGGGAGCCGAGACTGGGGTTAGTGGATGGGGTGGGACACAGGGTGTGTGTGTGTGTGTGTGTGTGTGTGTGTGAGTGAACAGTCCAGCCTTAGACCATAAAATAAGGCCCTGTCTCAAAAAAAAAGTGGATGGGGGAGGGAGGGAGGGAAGCAGAGAGAAAGAGAAAGGAGCCTTAGGGAAGTTGTGAAGTTACTCTCTAGAAGGGTTTGCCAGCAGTTCTGAATAGACAGAAATTGGGTCAACAAACGTGAAGGTAAGACACTAAAATTATCGGATCTGAAGAGTAGAAAGACAAACAATGATAAGAAAATGCAACATAAGGACATGATGGGATACAATCAAGGGTACTGAGTTACAAAGCAGATCCCAGGGAGAGAGAGAGAGGGCAGCTGGGTACGGTGGCGCGTGTCTTTGATCCTTGTACTCAGAAGGCAGAGACAAGTGCTCTTGCTGAACTGCCCAAATTTGATGAAAGACCCGAAGAATGACTGAGCAGGTGCCAGGCAGGAGAAAATGAAGGAGACCCATGTTGAAATGCACTGTGGTCCATTTGCCTCTCCAAAGATGCCCTTGGAATAGAGGAAACTCCCAGGAGATGCTGAAATAGCTCAGTGGTTAAGAGTGCTTACTCGTCTTGCAGAGGACTGGGGTTCAGGGCTCAGCACCTGCATGACCACTCACAACTGTCTGCAACTCCAGCTCCAAGGGCTCTGGCGCCCTCTTCTGGTCTTTGAGGGCTCCTGCACACATGTGATGCACATAAATTCAGGCAGGTGCACAGCATATAACAACAGTAATAACAACAACAATAATATTAAGATCAGCTTATGAAAAGAAAAGCCTCCTGGGAGAGCAAGCTCTGGTGTCCCTCTGCTGAGGGCTGCAAGACAGAGATATTCTGATTCTGGAGCAGTGCCTGCTTGCAGGGGCCAGGGTATCTTGTGACATGACAACCCTTTGTTCCAGGAGCTGTCCTTTGTGAGGATCTGTGAATTGGCTTCCCTCATACATGTTCTGTCAGAAACTTCAGTCCAGATATACTGGCCCCTCCCCCTGACTGAAGTTGATGACTAACTGGCAGGTGGCTGTGACCAAATGGATGGGTAGGCATCGCTAGCTCTCCCACTCGGTAGTTCCAGTGTCCCCGCGGCAAGCCACACCTGTGCGTAAGAGGCTAGTGAGGACGCGTGAAGAAGAGCATCTGTCTCTAGGCAGGGAAGACACCACTCCCCCAGACATCTGGCCTTGACAGTGGTGGGCAACGTCTGACTTGCAGTTCCTCTACAAGCAGCATATGTTTGTTGTTTGTTCGTTTGTTTGGAGACAGAGTCTCACTATGTAGCCCTAGCTGGCCCGGAACTCACTGTGTAGACCGCGATGACCTCAGATTCATGGATATGCCCCTAATGTCTGATTTTCAAGGACTGGGACTAAGGACACCATCACACCCAGCATTCTGAAGAATATCTAAGGGACTCTGGGTGCTTCTAAAAGGGTATGGTGAGGACTTGCTGATGTCCTGGTGAATCTGATAGCTCATCACTGGTGTTCATCGTGAGCTCCTTTGCCATCAAGAGATGACACCAGGACAGATACTGCGTGCTTACTCTTATATGTGGGTGTTAGCTTTTAAGCTTTAGAAATGCGTGTTTCAGTTCAAGTAGCCACAGAGGTTATGTACCTAGTAAGGGGTGGGGTGGGGGTAGATCTTCCAAGGAAGGGAAATATGGTATTATGGAGAGATGAAGGGGAAGCTAGAGTAGGAGGCTTAAACAGAGGGGAGGGGAGGTGAAGGGGGAAAAATGAGAAGGGACAACTAACGCTAAAGGTTTCGTAAAGCCACATGGAAACCTACTACTGTAGAAGCTTTTAAAAACACATACGCGTACAAAAGGAATTTAAATGGGACAACATGCAAAGAGGAGACAGGCCTCAAACTAGACATGTCACCAAGTAAAACTTCCAGTGTTGGAAGTGGGTTACATATCTTTGAATTACTGGCCAAAGGGGCCCCATAGATGACCCCCCCAACCATCAGAACATTGCAGGTTATTTCTAAGGCTGTAACCTGATGGTAAGGCCCTTTGCTGAAGATACAACTTATGTCATCAGACACAGAGAAACTGCCTAAGTAGAAGTTTTACCCCTACTGACTAGTGTTCGTGGGGCTGAAAAGTGCTTTTTATGCTGCCAAAGGAGAAAAGGAATCCTCATTTTTGCCCAGATACAAACTCTGTGACCTACAACAGATACCTGCCTGCAAGATACAGAGGTATAATAGTGGCGCAAATGTCACAGGAGTAACCAGCCTACCACTATTACTCCGCTAGAGGAGCATTGCAATAACATGATTCCTAATGACATTGCTGACCCATTGAGCTGAATGTCACTTAAACCTCATCGGAGAAGCTTCTTGCAGTAGATGGTGATTGACAGAGACCCACAACAGGACAATGTGCAGAGTGAGAGACTTTGGAGCACTCGGGGATCTGTGCAGAAGAGGAGGTGGACAGATTGTAAGAGTCAGAGGTGGTGTGTGACTGAGGAAATAGTAAATACACACACACACACACACACACACACACACTATCCCTTGGGAATGGTCTCAGAGTATGTGGGGTGTAAATGGGATTTTTTGATGGTTTTCTGTGAACAAAGCCTAGGAAAAGGGTGCGATGGTCACATTCCAGGGAGACAGACACCTCCAAGTGTCAGAAGGGAAGGAGACTTTAAACATTGAAAAAAATCTCGCTAACCCCAAAACATTAGTAGCAGTTTTTAAAGATTTATTTTTATCTCCTGTGGGTAAGTATTTGCTTGTATGGTTATCTGTGTACTGTAATGATATTTTCTCTCTTTTGGAGGGCCTGATGTTTTTTACTCTTTTGCCTTATTGAGGGACCTGCCACTCAGCTCCCAAGTAAATCACACACGGAGGCTTATTCTTAGTAGTGGGTGCCCAGCCTTAACTTGGCTGGCTTCTTGCTTCCTTTCCTTAGCTTATATTATCCCGTCTACTTTTTGCCTCTGGGGTTTTCCTGTTCTCTTCCTTTTGTAAGTCTCACTCCTGCTCTGTGGACTGCTGTGTAAGTGGGTGCCTGGCCCCTGATGTCCTCCTCCCCATTTTCTTGCTGCTCCTCATTTCTCCTTCTGTTTATCCTCTCTGCCTGCCAGCCCCACCTATCCTTTCTCCTGCCTTGCTATTGGCCGTTCGGCTCTTTACTAGGACCACCAGGTGTTTTAGACAGGCACAGTAACACAGCTTCACAGAGTTTAGGCAAATGCAACATAAACAAAAGCCACACACCTTAAAATAATTTCTACCAGTGTACCACGTGCATGCAGTACCCAAAGAGGCCATAAGAGGGCATCCGGCGTTTCTAAACTGGTGTTAATAACAGGTTGTGAACCGTCATGTATATGCTGGGAATCTAACCTAGGTCCTCCAGAAGAGTGGCCAGTGAACATAACCACTGAGCCATCTCCATCCCTATTGAGCACTTTATAAATAAAGCTCTTCATGACCTTTTAACATGTTTTGCCTCATTTCTGACTTGTAGCCTTCTCCCTGTTTTTATGTGTCATCCTGGGGGGGCGGTGTCTTTTGGGGTATACAAATGACACCAGGAATGAGAAGGGAAGATGTATTTCCACATACGAGGCATGGGACAGAGTTTATAGACGTCTCTGCCTGGGATGTCTGGTGCAAATCATCGCAGAGCGGAGCATCCTGTACCCACTGAGTCTGAGTCATTCACTCCTCCGTGGACACGCTGCGCATGTGCAGAGCCAGATACCCCGTGTGCGTTGCTGGTGTTAATGTGTTGTGCCTTGCTTCTTGCAGATGAGATCCTGCTGCAGGTCTTTTCTAACGACCCACAATATTTATCCAAAGAAGGCGCAAGGGCCGCCGATGAGCTAGCAACGTGGAAAGACTCGAATGAAAGCAAGTATATGCCAATGGGACCTCTTTGGTAACTGGACATAGCTTACCTTGAGAGAGGCGTGGGGACGAGGGCCCACTAAGGGCCAGGTGTGGGTTAGAATGTCAACTCTTGCTGCCTGTGTCTGCAATGCCACATCCAAGGAAAGATGACCAAATCTGGCACGTGAAGCTTTTCACTAAAAATGTTTAGGAATAGCCAGTCCATTTTCCCACAATGTGGCTGCCAATTGCCATTTATTAGAAAGTCTGTCTTGGCTGTGGTGGTCTGAGGCGCCTCCTTTGTCATGGGGTAACTCCCCTACCCTCGAGGCTCTGCCTAGGCTTCCTGCTCATCGCCTGCAGCATCAGCACACAGTTTTAGCTAGAGGCCGAAACAGTTTTTTCTTTTCGAGACAGGGTTTCTCTGTGGCTTTGGAGGCTGTCCTGGAACTCGCTTGGTAGTCCAGGCTGGTCTAGAACTCACAGAGATCCACCTGCCTCTGCCTCCCGAGTGCTGGGATTAAAGGTGTGCACCACCACCACCACCACCGCCCAGCTGATTTTCTGGCCATTTTAATGATAGTTTTTTCCATGTGAGCTTTACTATCAGCCTGTCTAACTTTATTAAAAACCTGTTTATACTTTCTCAGTCATTTTGGAAAAACTGTTATTACCCTAGGTTAGACATGGGGATATCTTGACAAAACTTTAAGCTTGTCTTGGGCTTTTTCAGTGGGCTCCATATCTGTATCTATCTACATGTGTATGTACATATGCATATATTGCTAATTTATTGCTTTGCTGTGTTGTTTGGTGGAGATTTCTCTATTATCCTATACACCACTGAGTTAAAGTTTTGGTAGAAGGTAAATTAATCTGCGCACGATCATTTCATAGCCTTAGTACCTGTACTGGCTGCATTGTTAACTTGATACAAGCCTGAGACACTTGGGAAGAGGGAACTTCAGCTGAGGAGTTGCCTCCACCAGACTGGCTCGCGGGCATGTCTGCTGGGACGTTTTCTTGATAAGTGACGCAGATGGTCAGCCCTGGGCAGGCGGTCCTGGAGTGTATGAAAAGGCAAGCCAGTAAGCAGCGTGTCTCTGTGGTCTCTGTTTCAGTTCCCGCCTCCAGGCTTCTGCCTTGGCTCCCTTCATGAACTGTAACCTGAAAGCCACAGAAGCCCCTTTGGTCTCCAAGTGGCTCTTGATCATGATGCTTCTTACAGCAACAGAGAAGCAAACTAAGACAGGACCTTACTGGATTCTAGTATATCTAATATAGATATATGTGTATATATAACACAGCATCTGCAGAGAGATACAGTTTTACTTCTTTACAAATTACTGTATCTCTCACCCACATGTGGGTCCTATTTAATTACATCATTGCTATCTCCAAGACAATCCTTATGAGTAGTGGAAATATACTGGCTTGTGCCTCTCTCAGGGGGAGATACTTCTAATGTTTCCTGATTAAGATAATGGTTATGGGATGAATATAAGAAATAGAATATCCATCCATCCATCCATCCATCCATTGTCAATCTATCTCCCTCTCTTTCCAGACAGACAGACAGACAGACAGACAGACACACACACACACACACACACACACATATTTACATACTGACAATGAATTCCTCGATTTCTATTTGCTGTGGTAGGTTTGATATATATATATATATATATATATATATATATATATATGTTAAGTACCTGCTGTGTACCATCTTGCCAATCCTACTGGTCATCATTCTCGTAGTATACACTTTGAAATGACAATAAAACAGATCATAGCACTATTCAGTGCTGACTAGACTCTGCCCCAGAGAGGCATCAGCGGCGTAGAAAAGTGCTGGATAATACGTGGGTGACTGGTACAATATTAACCTCTACTATGACGACAGGGCCAACAGAGTGAGCACTGTCACTCAGCTGTTGGAGCTTTCTTCTACATTTGCTCATTTCATCTCCATAGCAGTCTGGTGTGGCAGCATAGTTACTGTGCATGGGTTTTCTGGGGGATGCTCAGGGTAAATAACCTGCTACAGGCCAAGTATCCAGCAGGGGGCAGTGCTGGTCCATAAACCGAGGACAACCAGTTATGTCCACAGCGCTTTATTCTCCAGACATCATCCAGAGCAACATTCCCATGTGCTATCTTTAGGCAGGCACCCCAGTGTCCAGGGGTTGGGATCCTCTATCTCCAGTTATGTTGCCTTTGGCTGAATGGACCAACGATGTATTCATTATGATGGTCATTGAACAACAACGAAGACATAATTTTTAAATATGGGAGCTTCTTGCCCCTTATTGTTACACTAGAAGGGACTGGGTGCTCTGTTGGGCTCAGCATCCCTGAAGCAAGCTTGATATCATATCTCAAACCTTAAGGTAGGTCCTAACCTGTTATCTTGATAGATTGCTTTTTTCTAGAATGTTTGCACAGTAGCAAAGAAGACATTACCTCTTTAAAAGCTGTAAAAAGCTTTATTGATATTTTTTTACTCATGTAGATGCTTAACTCAGTACATGACAACTTTTTAAGAACAAACTGGCTTCCCTCCCTTCCTCTATTTCCCCAGAACTCAAGGTATGCAGTGGACTACTTACACTAGGTTTGGAGACAATTCCATGATATTTGTTTTTGTAAGGGAGGAATCCCACTATAAACTTGATTATCACCAAACTGGTTATCACATTCTAAACTGATTATTTATGGTGCTGGCTGAGTTGGTAAAGTTCTTGCTGCACAAGAGAAGGATCTGAGTTCGGATCCCTAGTAGCCATGTAAGAACCTGGGCACCATGGCACACACCTGCAGTCCAGTGCTAGGGAGGCATGGATGCGGGTCCTTGAGATCTCCCGGCTGGCCAGTCTTGGTGAACTTCAGTGAGAGACCCTGCCTCAAAAAATAATGTGGAGATCTGGAGAGATGGCTTGGGAATTAGGAATGCATACTGCTCTTGCAGAGAATCTGAGTTTGATTTCCAACACACACACACACACACACACACACGTCATGTATACACATATGCTTACATGTATGTATACAACCATGCACCTACATGAATGAGAACACACAAATTGATTTTTTTAAGTTAACAATGTTGAATTTCTAGGAACCCCTAACTTAGAAATAAGAGCTTGAAGCATCGGGTTAAAAATAATCGGTTTATATGAACAGACGCAAACTTCCTTCACTCGGCTGTGTTCCTTGGGGACCTATTCCTGCATGGCTTTAAAATATGTCCACAAATGCTTTTCCACCTCTCCCTCCAAGAGATGAAGCTCTGTGTGTGTGGACTGGATTTCGTGACTTGCTCCTTATGAGTGGCAGAAGCAACAATGAGCAGTTTGTAGATCAGGTCACCTAAGGTGTGGCGTTTCTACCTGGATGTCTCTTGGTTCCTTCACTCTGCTGAAAGTTGCCTGCCATGTACTGAGCATGCTCAGACAGTCCCAATGAGAATGGCTGGGGTGGGGAGGAAACCCTCTTGTCTACACCCAGTAAGGATGTTCAAGATGGTTTACTTGGGTGGTTTTGGATCAGAGTTCCTCATAAGTTGTAGTCAAAATCCTTCAAGATTGATTCTCTTATTTAAAACCTAGCAACTGGTTTTTTTTTTTTCTCCCAGCCTTGTCGTGGGCTCTGTGCTAGAGGCTGAAGAGCTAAATGAGACATTCTTGTTCTCCAAGATCTTACTTACAACTAATAAGCTAGTCGGTGGTTCTCTCACTCCACTCAAAGGTGGCTGCCTTATTGTAAGGGTGCTCAAATGATCACACAGCCCAAAGAGCATGTCTCTGGTGGTAGGGTAGAGAGGTGGATTGGCAGCTGTGAGCACTGGCTGACCCAGGTTTGACTCACAGAACCCACATAGTGGCTCACGGCCATCTGAAACTACAGTTCCAAGGGATCCAATGCTCTCTTCTGGTCTCTGCGGGTACCGGGCACTCATGTGATGCACAGACATACTTGTAGGCAAAACATCCATGTACATAACACAAAGAAATTACTAAAAAAGGAACCCGGATCCTCTGGAAGAGCAGCCAGTGCTCTTAGCCACTGAGCCATCTCTCTACCCTGACACCTTTGGAGGTTGTTTTTATTTTAAATTAATTTGTATTTTATGTATACGGGTGTTTTGTCTGCATGCATGTCTGTGCACCACACACATTTCTGGTATCCATGGAGGCCAAAAGAGGGTGTCAGGCCCCCTAGAACTGGAGTAATAGATGGCTATGAGCAGCCATATAGGTGCTGGAAACCATGTAGGTCCTTGGAAAGCACACCAAGTGTTTTTAACTGTTGAGCCATCTCTCCAGTCCCAACACTCAAAAAGTAAAAAATTAAGTTTCGTATGTATTTTGTGTGTGGGGGGCGGGCATGTACACATCCACACACGTGGAAGTCAGAGGTCAACTCTCAGGAGTCTGCTCTTTCCTTGTATCATGTGGATACTGGAGTTTGAACTCGGGTCATTGGGCTTGGCCGCAGGCACCTTCATCCACTGAACCATCCCACTGGCTTCACCTTGTTGTTTTGAGATGAGTCTTTTTTAAAAATATTATTTATTTATTTATTTATTATGAACACAACATCCTGCCTCCATGTCTGTCTGCAAGTCAGAAAAGGGAACAGATCTCATTATAAATGGTTGTGACCTCTGGAAGAGCAGTCAGTGCTCTTATAACCTCTGAGCCATCTCTCCAGCCCCCAAGATGAGTATTTCACTAGCTTCCTGGAACTCAGCAAGCAGGCTATGCTGGTTATCTGCAAGCCCCAGGGATCCACCTATCTCTGTCTTTCCAGAACACCGGAATGACAAAGTACACCACCTTTCTAAAGTAGCACGTCATACACACAGCTACTTTATCATAGAAACAGAATTAGGCTCAGGCAATGGCTGTAGGTAAAGCTGTTAATGTTAGCTTCCCATCCCCATAATGAAATACCTGAGATGATCAGCTTATAAGACATTGGCTCACACCTTTAGAAATTCTAGTTCATGCTGCCCATGTTGTTTGGGGGGGCGGTCCTGTGGAGAAGTAGAGCAATGTGGTACAAGTGTGTGAGAGACAGCAAATAGGCTCGTTCCATGTCTAAGAAGAGAGAGAGAGAGAGAGAGAGAGAGAGAGAGAGAGAGAGAGAGAGAGAGAAGGGAGAGGGAGAGAGAGAGAGAGAGAGAGGGAGAGAGAGAGAGAGAGAGAGAGAGAGGAGAGGGGAGAAGGGACAGCAGAAGGACGGGGTGAATGGAAAGGGGAGAGAGGGGAGAGGAGAAGAGAGAGGGTAGCTAGGATCCCACAATCCTCTCTGAGGGCACAGCCCTAATGAGCTAAACGCCTCCCACAGGCCCCACCCACTAAAGGTTCCAGTGCCTTCTAAGAGTACCACTTGTAGACTGAGCCTTTTATATGTAGACTTTGGGGTCATTCAGGGTCTAGACTTCTCTTTTGTCTTTTGTAGATTATATGGCTGAGAAGACAAATAAGGAATCATCTCTATTCAACAGGGATGTAAGCCATCAATTAACTACTGCTGCCAAAGAAACAACCCAAAAGTTAACTACTCATGGTAATCATCCTTTTTTAAATGTATATTTTATCTAATTCACATTTTAAAAAGTTTTAGTTTTTTGGTTTTTCGAGGCAAGGTTTCTCTGTATTGTTTTGGAGGCTTTCCTGGAACTCCCTCTGTAGACTAGGCTGGTCTTGAACTCACAGAGCTCCACCTGCCTCTCATTTAAAAATTTTAAAACAATCTTATTTTACATACCAAACCCAGTTCCTTTCTCCGTCTCTTCCTCTCGCTCCCCCTTCCCTCACCTCACCCCCATCTACTCTTAAGACAGGGTGAGCCTCTGTTCTTAAAGCATAACCTAAGTAAGAGTTTTGAGTATGGAAGGTTCAAGAATGTGTCTTTTGATGTCATTGTATTGTAGCTGAATAGAGTCAGTGAACCTTTAGTTCACCTGCAAAAGTTTGTGGTAAGCTAGGGCAGGGTCACATGCCTGTAATCCCAACACTCAACAGACTGAGGCAGGAGGATCATGAGTTTGAGACCAGCCTGGGCTACATGGTAAAACTGTCTAAACACACACACACACACACACACACACTCACACACTTTAAATCTTTGATCACATTTCTATAAGGATTTTCATGGGTTTTCTAAATAGCCAGAGTCATTTGGAACATGGTATCCTCTTCTGAGCCCTTGCTACCTATGGGCTCCGAGGCTATCTAACATACAAGAGGGATTCAAGGTCAAAGGTTAGCCTAGTCTTCTGAGGTTCTGGCTTCTTCCTTCTTGTTGGGTTAACTGAGCTCAGGGTATTGGGTAGCGACTGACCCCATGCTGGACTAAGCCCAGGACACTCTCCATACAGCACTGCATCAAAAATGACTCCTCACCGTCAGAAATTAAACACCAACCCTGACAACTGGAGTTCAGTCCTCCGACCCACATGGTAGAAAGAGAGAACTGACACCTGTAAATTGACCACACACGTGCATGGTGTGTATGCACACACACATGCACGCTCAAAATAAAATGTAATTTTAAACTTTCTGGTGCCGAATTATTCCAGCAGAGCTCTGAGAGAGACTTACCTGATGCTGCTGCTGTAGCTGGGATGAAGGGTTGGCCTCCAACTTTTCCCCATAACTCAAGCAGACCCTTGGGTGGCATCCTCCTGCATCACCCTTTCTTCAGTGTTTCTCCTCACTGAACTGGCTCATTCCCGCCACCGTTTCCTTCCTCCCTCTGCCCCATTCTCCCTCTCCCCTTGGCTCCATTACAAATGGAATCACAGACGCTCCTGAGTTCCCAAATGTCAGCTCCTTCCTTTGTGATCTAACCATGAGCTTTTGTATTTCACACCCGTACTCGGTGGCACTCCAAAGCCACACTCATGATTTCTCCAAGTCCCCAGAGGGCTGTTAGAAGTCAGGGCCGTCTCTGACATCACTGCAGGGCGGCAGTCACAAATCTCTCAAACTACAGTCCTGGTCAGTAATCATCACTGTAGCAAATACCTGAGAGGAACACATTCAAGGAGAAAGGGTTTATTTCAACTCTGGGCTTCAGAGGTGCTGGTCCGTGGTCTCCTGGTCCCCTTCTTTTGAGGCTCTGGTGAGGCAGAGCACCCTGGCAGAAAGGAATGGTGGAGAGAAATCACTGGCTGCATGCTGGCCAGGAAGTGGGGAAAATACCTTCCCTCATTGGCTGACTTGTCTTTTCCCCCTCTGTATTCTGTCTGGGCACTCAGCCTATTGGATGGTACCCCCAAATCCAGGGGTGATCTCACTTCTGTCACTGTCTCACATATCAGCCATTTCTGGAAATACCCTCACACGCGCACACACACACACACAGACACAGACACACACACACACACACACACACACACACACACACAAACTTTTTTTTTCTTTGGTTTTTCAAGACAGGGTTTCTCTGTATTGTTTTGGAGGCTGTCCTTGAACTCGCTCTGTAGACCAGGCTGGCTCCGAACTCACAGAGATCCACCTGCCTCTGCCTCCGAGTGCTGGGATTAAAGGCGTGTGCCACCAATGCCTGGCCATACTCTCTCTCTCTCTCTCTCTCTCTCTCTCTCTCTCTCTCTCTCTCTCTCTCTCTCTCTCTCATTCTAACCCCTTGTGTGTCTCTTACTCAAATCAAGATCACGGTGAAGACCTATAACCATACTTACACCCACAAAACAGACCGCATATGTAGTAGAGTTTATAGACGCTGGTGGGACAGGGAGGAGGGGGCAGCAGAAAATGTTTTTGCCACTGCCCAGTGAGAAGCTTTCACTCAAATATTTGAGACACTGTTGTCCAGTTCCCCGTGCTGGAGATTTAACCCAGTGTCTCCTGCATGCGAAACGAGTATGCTACCCCTGAACTACACCCTCAGCCCCACCTCTGCACTCTCAAAGCCTGTGAAGTAGGATGTTCCTGCCTCCTTTGTTCGCCTACCCACGGACCTCACCTCTGTCTTCCTGATTCCCACACTCTCTGGTTTGTTGAGCCATCTCCATGGATGTGCTGCTGCTTGCCAGCCCATACCCTCAGCATCTCAACTTGTCACTGGTGACAAGGCCAGCTGCTTCCCCAGATGGGCTTCTGAGGCTGGTGGCTGACATGCTAGTGTATTCACTTCTGCTCTGAGCCAGGCCACCAGCTTGTCCTTGTTTGGGGACCTGGTTGTGGGTCACCTGGCAGGGATGGTGCAGGCTGCCTATAGCTACTCGCCTTGTATCTTCCCGTTTGGATGCTCACACTGATCCTTGTAGATGCTCACACTGATCCTTGTAGATGCTCACACTGATCCTTGTAGATGCTCACACTGATCTTGTGTCTTCCCGTTTAGATGCTCACACCGATCCTGTGTCTTCCCGTTTAGATGCTCACACTGAGGGTCTGCCTTGCAGACAGATGCTGAGCTTCCTTCAGAAGAACATCATTATTGCTGCCACTGCTGTGGCTTCAATCCTCCTGGTCACAGCGTTTGTGGCATTTGTACTGGTCACGTGCCTAAGGCGGAAACAGCCAAGGTGAGTGGCTCTCGGCATCCATCTTCCTTTCAAGAACTCTGGTGGTGGAGGGGTGCCTTGGATTCTGTTCCCAGCACAGGGTGGTTCATAGCCATCTGCACCACCAGTTTCAAGAGATCCAACCCACACTCTGGCCTCCCAGAGCACTGTAAGTTTGTGGTACATGCTGGCAAGACAACCGCATGTATAAGGGAAAATGAAAGTGTTTTTGTTTTTGCTTTTTTTTTTTAAACAAACAACTTGGGGAGTTTGAAACAGTTGCTTTTGCAAATCCCAGATATAGGAGGAAGGCAGGGATGGCTTTCTGCTGTGCTTCAGCATTTCCCAGCAGAGGCTTTGGAGACCCTGACTTGGGCTATGCTTGCTTCTCAAGGCCATGCAAGTCTGAGAGGAAACTGAAGGGGAAATGACAGAGCCTCTGGTTTGCAGAATGGAAGCTAGGGCTCTATTCCCTGCCCCCCACCCACTCATCAGGTCTTCTCTGTGTAGCCCTGGCTGTCCTGGAATTTGCTCTATAGACCAGGCTGGCCTTGAACTCAGAGATCCACCTGCTTTTGCCTCCTGAGTGCTGGGATCAAAGGCATGTGCTACCATGCCTGGGAACTAGGGCTTTGGGTGCAGAAAAGAAGGTGTGAAGGGATGAGGTCGAGGAGAAGAAAACAAGGCTGAATTCTGTCTGTTTACACTGGTTCAGCTGTGTGGATTAGACTCTGGAAGTGTGGTCCTGCTAGCTGCTAAATCGCCACTTCCTAGAATCTTCCATGGTCCACTAAGGGATGGGTTAATGCCTGGCCTTGGAGGAGCAAGGAGAGAAAGAATTCAGGCGCAGACGGAACCTTGAGCGGACACCAGAAGCAAATAACTTGAAAGAGCTTCGTGTGCATGGTCACTTTCAGAATTAGGAGCCCCCTCTGCATCCTTGGAGGTACCACATTCCTAATGGCTGAGGAAAAGCAGCCCCCACTGACCACTTAGGCTCCAGCACTCACGGTGTCCCTTTCCTTTGCATCTGAGACTGTAGCAGTTAAATTTCCCCATGAGAGAGTGTCACTGCCTTCTCTAAGTGCCAAGGCCTTGTGGATGGAGCAAAGCCTAAAACTAGGCAAGCTGACAGCCACTCCACATCCGGTTTAACTCTTCCGAGACAGGCTTGCGGGAACTCGGATCTAAGGGCTTCTGAAAATAATCTTGACCTACTTTATTACCCTGCCAGGGCTCATCCTTGGACCAGTCATTTTCTCTCGAAAAGAACTGGTTAGGATGGCTGGCTCCATGCCAAACAGACGAGCAGGGTCTGTGGATGGAGGAGTTTCCCAGAGGCGCTTTGCGGCCCCGAGGAAACAGAATTCGGACCCCTCAGAAACTGCAGCCGCCCTCTCCATCCGCCGGGCAGACAGTGGGGCTTCCTGTGTGTTTAGTGAGCTGTGTGTGGTTTTTCTTCTTCATTTTAGGTATCCGCCAGCGAACACGACGTACAATATTTTTATAATGAACGGGAAGGGTTGGTGGCAAAAGCCCGAGGAAAGGCTCCTCAGAAAATTCACAGGGAAGCAGAAAACCCTGAGGTGCAAGTCCTGCGTCTAAGCTGGTGGAGGAGGCAGCAAACCGTCACCAAGCCATGTCGGAGGGTTCTTTTGTGCTGCCTGGACAGAAATGGAGGGTAGGCAAGCTCTTAACACGCGGGTCTCTGGTGTAGGTGGATGGAAGGGGTGGCAGGTGGCGCCCCCTAGTGGTACAGTCTCACGCAGGCCCCGCTGGTGGCTCTTGGCCGCTACCAGAGCTACGGTTGTCAGGCTAGGGTTTGAGACCCTAGGCCCTAAGGACGACAGCGTCACACCCACGTCCACATCCCGTCTTCCTGCTGTGCCACTGGGGAACGCTTCACCTGCTCCCTTAGTTGTTGGTGCTGCGGCCAGGATGACTTGGGGGGTGGGGGATCGTGTGCCTGCCTCCGTTGGGGCAGCCTTTGGGAGCTGGGGATGCAGGAGGGCCATTTAGAAACTGGGTGCTGGGAACGGGCTGGCATCTTAAGCTCGGGCATCTTTCCCCACTAGGGGCAGGATCCTGGTGGGATGGTGGGATTCCTAGCCTGGACCCTTGCCTAGTTCAGCGCAGCAGTGCCATGCTTGTAGAGCTGGATTGGCTCGCAGCCTGCTGGCGCGTGGGCCTGAGGCCTCAGTGGGTGGGTGGGCAGCTAACTTTAGCTGTTGCATGGCACACCGACACCGGGGCTTCAACAATGCCACATCTTCGTGGATCAGTGGTGAGGGTACCAGTCACCAGCAAGGTATTTGAGAGTGGGGGTGGGCCTGGCGCCAGACACTGACTGGGACCGCTCTGAGAACGCCTTGGATCGCTTCAACTGTTGACCAGTAGTTATAGGTACTTTGAGCTCTGAAGCTGGGGCCCCCGTCTTGGGAATGTATACTGTACATTGGGCTGTTTGGAAACCTGCTCGGAGTGAGCAAAGCTGCCTGCTTAAATAACCTAGAAGAGCTGTTAAGACCAATCACAGTCATTTGTTTGGACCAATCCAGTTCCCCGGCTTGTGTTCTGGGCCAATCACAGGCTTGCCAGAGGCCACAGTCGTCGCTCTGCCAGCGGAAGGGCTCTCTGATTGGCCAAAGTGGAACTGGTTCACTGAGGCTGTGACTGCAGACAGTATGGCACCAGCCATTTCAAACAGCTCTGTCTAGGGCTGGGTCGTCAACAAGCCTAGGTGACCAGCTGCGGTGTTCTGCAGAGTCGGCTCCAGGCATACGCTGGGTAGTTAAGATGGCTGGTGCTAGCAGGGTAGTTCAGCTGGCTGTTAAGATTGACAGTCCTATGCCGGGCGGTGGTGGCACAGGCTTTTAATCCCAGCACTGGGGAGGCAGAGACAGGAGGATCTCTGTGAATTCGAGGCCAGCCTGGTCTACTAAACAAGTTCCAAGACAGACTCCAAAGCTACAGAGAAATCCTGTCTCCAAAAAACCAACCAAACAAACAAACAAAAAACAAAAAGCAAAGCAAAACAACAAAAAGATAGACAGTCATTTTGTTCATAGCCACTGAGGCAAGAGAAGATGCCAGAGATGCTGACTAGGGGTTCAAATTGATCCCAGTGCCTAGCTGGCTGCAGGAAAATGAACTCCGGAAGGCGTGCTTAAATACAGATGCATAGAACCCAGCGTTAACAGTGCCGGTGACTTTAACAGATTTTAACTGTGCTTTCCACCTGCCCAGTACCCGGGGAGGGGTGAGCTCCTCTTCTCAGTCTCAAGGGGACCTGGGATCACCAAGCAAGGAAAGTCTTGATGTAGTCCTGGAGAGGCAATTGGAGTTAGGGCTGTGAGGTGTATTCTGCAAAAGTGTTTCCTGTACCTGCCTATCTTGGCTGGACCTCTGGATGCTTGTGGTGATAGAGTATCCAGTGCAGTTGACAGTCTTCTAGGTCCTTAGAAGAGGGCGCCTTTGAGAGGAAACGCTGTAGTGGGCGGTGTGGACCACTGGGTGCAAGCTGAGAGGTTTTATGTATGTGTTTATCTGGAAAGATTTGTTGTGTGATTTTATGTGTGTGGATGGGTGTGTGCATATGAGTTTGGATACCCTGGGAGACTAGAGGCATTGGGACCTCGGATCTGAGTCCCCGTCCATAGGACATCCTGCATATTCTCACCTTGCTGATCTCCCAGGGGCTCAGGCATGAGGTATAGGGCGGGAGTGGGAGACTAGGAGGGGAGAATGGAAGATAGGAAATTTAGAGCGTGGCATGTAGGGAAAGGAAATCGGATTGGTGAGTGGGTGAACTTGGAGAGGAGGCAGGGTTCACTCCCCACCAGCATCAGCAGCTGATATTTATGGGACTGGTCCCCACTCGGCCAAGCATCTAATGAATACCTGTCTGTGCTAGACACGGTGGCCAGTGACCCTCCCTGTGGCAGTCTCCCCTAATGGCTGACCTGTGTGGGCCTGGCCTTGGCCTTCGATGAGGTGAACACGATCCTCCCCCATTTCACAGTCAAGCCAGAGAGGCCACGACAGCCGACCCTTTTATCCTGTCTCTGCTGCCGTACTGTGCCTCTCGAGGTTGGCCATCACAGGACCAAAGAGAGTAGGTGACAACTGTACCGTGGCCAGCCTCACAGGGATGGCCTGTCTGAGACCTCACAGTCCTAGGTGTTTCTTGGGCCTAGGTGTTTCTGGGTCCAGCTGGGTTCTGGTACTGGTCCTGCCCAGGCCTGCTCGGAGCCTCAGATTCCTCATTCTGACAGTAGAGGAAATAATTGAGCATCTGATGTACGCCAGACACTGCTGGTTTGGGGACACTATAGAAAGCAGGGACTAGGACCCCTTTGAGCTCGGATGAGATGTACCAATCCGGTTATGTGCCCCCTCATCCTGCTTCAAGTCTGAGCGGCAGCCCCCCCCCCCAGCTCTCCTGTCCCTTTTCCAGGTGTTGCCTTCTGAAGGTGAGCACTCCTTGCCCGTGGGCCTATGGGAGCCATCCCACAGCTGTCTACTTGATTATCACCTATACCAAGGGATCCTCTTCACCTTGTTCCCCCACACACTTGGTGGGAATCCAGCCCTCTTGTCCCCATTAGGGTGAGCCAAAGGATGGCATTGGGTTTTAGAGTCCAGCCAGGTGGAGTTCTCTCTGTTTTCCACCATGTCCTTGGAAGGTCTCCTGTCTGCTTACTCTTGGCCTGTTTCTCTCTAGAACATGGGCTAGCATCCTTTGTGGGGCTGTTGTGTGACACGAACCCTCAGCTAGGACTTCTCAGTAGAAGAGAAGACCTTTTAAAAAACTGTCATGAGCCGGGCAGTGGTGGCGCACACCTTTAATCCCAGCACTAGGGAGGCAGAGGCAGGAGGATTTCTGTGAGTTCAAGACCAGCCTGGTCTACAAGAGCTAGTTTCAGGATAGTCCCCAAAGCCACAGAAAAACTCTGTCTCAGAAAAACAAAAACAAAAACAACAACAAAACCCCAACAAACAAACAAACAAAAAATAAAAAACAAGAAAAAAGCTGTTATGATCATTCTGCAAGATATTGGTTCTGTGTCTTCCCAGCATTCTCTGCATTCATTCCAACCATGCATGCCTGACCTGGCCACTCCCACACTCATCCATTGGCTTCAGAGGCTGGTTAGGGAATCACTGTTCAGAGATAGAGATGGGGCCCACTCAATCCGTGAGCTGTGTTGGGGGCATTCTCTGGGAATACTGAGGAATATGTCTTGCTCTTTGCACAGGTCTTGAAATAACTCCCTATCTCGAAGTCCAGGAAGAAAATGCAACAGAGAGAGAAGCCAACAGGCAGGAGGCGACAGTCCTGCAGCCATCATTGGAGCCCAAAGCAGGTTGCCCTGAAGCCCATCCCTGGAATTTTCAGCTATTCATACAATAATTATCGAACACATTTTTGTTTGGTTTGGTTCTTGAGAGTCTCGTGTATCCCAAGCTGACCGCAGACTCCCTGTGTGGTCAAGGATTATTTGAACACCTAAGATTATTTTTTCCCTTAGATGTGTGTGTGTGACTGTGTGCGGGTGTGTGCATTAGAATATAAGTGCCCCAGAGGCTAGAAGAGGGCGTTGGATACCGTGGAACTGCAGTTCTAGGAGCTTGTGAGCTGCCTTAAGTTCCTCTGCCAGAGCAGCCTGCCCTCAGCTGTCTCTACAGCCCACACTTGGAACTTCTGGTCTGTACTCCTAGGTACTGGGACTACGGGCGTGTACACTGTGTGGTGTTACGATGGAACCCTGGGCCTTGTGCGTGCTAAGCAAACACACTACCAACTGAATCAACACCCCCACCCCCTCAACCCCTCAGTTACTAGGGCCAGAGACCCCACCTCACAACACATCCCTGCTTCGGGCTGTCCCATTGGCTGTTCCCTCTTCCCCACACCTTTCTGATTGTCTCCTGGACCCTCTTGGCTCTAGATGCCGCCTCTGTGAGTCCTGCCCTGACCCATGTTCCAAATGACACACCAAGAGGTCTATTTCCTAGCGTTTTCTTCCTCCGTGGAACGCTTCATCACTTTGCTAGTCTCTGTCTCCATTAGACAGTCATCTCCACAGGGAAGAGGTCTGCACTTGCGGTGGCCTCAGCAGGCCCTTGTACCTCGGACAGGGATAGGCTGATTGTAAGTGGACTCTGAGGCACTGGAAACTGTCGTGATGGCGTGAAGGCTTCAGAAGGACTTGTTAGCTTGGGTTCATTTGCCAGAGGATGGATGATGGTCACTTGTGGTCTTTAAAACCTCCTCCCACACGGTGCTTGGCAGCTTTCAGTACCCCAGAGATGCCCCCAGGGGGCGCAAGGGAACGCCGAGGCTGCATGGATGGTGATGTTGAGGATGGCAACAACGGGCAATGTATTAGTCAGGGTACTTGAGTAACAGGATTTATAGAATGAATCTCTCTCTCTCTCTCTCTCTCTCTCTCTCACACACACACACACACGCACACACACACACACACGCACACACACACACGCACACACACATGCACACACACGCACACACACATGCACACACACACGCACACACACACACGATTTATTGGACTGACTTACATGCTACAGTCCAGCTAATCCGATAATGGCTGGCTGTGGACAGAAAGCCCAAGAATCTAGTAGCTTCTCAGTTCACAAGGCTGCGTGTCTCAGCTGGCCTTCTGTATCTGCTGGAATCCTGAAGAAGTGGACCCCAATGCCAGTGAAGGAATGGACTTGCTGGCAAGGTGAGGGCAAGCCGGCAAAGAGCAGAAGCTTCCTTTTTCCATGTCCTTACATAGGCTTCCAGCAGAAGGCATGTCTCATCCTAAATGCCTGCCTTTCCTCCTCAAGTTCTGGAAGTGTGTGTGTCTTCCCACCTCAAAGGTCAGACTAGAAGTGGGTCCAAGTAAGAAAACACCTCACAAGTGTACCTTCTATTTCTGGACTGTAGTTCATCTGGATATGGTCGCGTTGTCAATGAAGAATAGCCATCTCGGGCAGCATTTGTCTTCTGGCCTGTTTTACTAGTCACAACAGCTCCAGAGGTAGAAAAGAATGAAGGACAGAAGGTAGTTGAGTCATAGTGTGGGGAGGCAATCCAGGAGGGGCCCTGGTGGAGGAAGGCTGGGGGCTGGGGGCTGGAGTTAAGTGTGGCCTCTCTGGAAGGCTGAGCCTTTACCCTCTCGTCTCCCAGGGCACCTACCAATGTTTCCCTGCTGAGGCTGCGTGTTCCCTTAGCTGTGGAGCTAATCCTGGCCAGCCCAGCTTCAGCTACCTGCACACACAGGCCCCTCTCAGTCAATGTGAGGCTGAGGGAAGTTTCCTGGAGGCAACCACGTTGCCTCGCTAACCTGGGGGTATGACAGCATGCGATCAGTTTCTTCCCAGGCTCTGGGTTCACTATGAGTGTTTACTGGAACCCTCTAGACATTCAGCACACAACTTTCCAGGCCTGGTTCCCAAGCACTCATCAGCTCTTCCCTCTGAAGTTCAAAGGACAAAGGACACGCCTCCTTCTTGCCACCCTCCCTCACGGAACACCATTCTTATCTGCGGTGATCTGCAGTCTCTTCTCAGAGGTGGGGACACAGGGGCTGCTGCCACCACACAGTTTCCAGTCACAGGTCTCTGGGACAGGAAGGGGCATGGAGTTGCTGGGCTTGTGGCTTGCAGAGGCCTGGAGTCACCTTCTCTGGGGCACTGGAGATTATACCCAGCCAGGGAGTTCCACCCACCCAGCCAGGGAGCCTCAGCCTGCTGCCTTTCACATAGCCTTGCAGTTCCCCAGCTGCCTGGGAGGCTGCCCTGTTCCTCCAAGATAATCTGCGAAGTTTTCTCCTCCTGTGTCCTGTGTCTATCAATGTGCGAGTCATGGGGACAAACCACCTACCTGGCTATGCTACTCTTACTGATTTATATTCTCTCACTCTGTTATTTGTTTAGCATGTTTAGTGTTTTTGTGTGTGTGCGCGCACACACGTTTGTATGCGTGTGTGTGTGTGTGTGTGTGTGTGTGTGTGTGTGTGTGTGTGTGTGCCACGAGATGTGTAGGGGGCATTTGGGTCATGGCCCTATTGTGGAGCTCAGACATCTTGTGGAGCTGGTTCTCTTCCTCTACCTTTATGTGGGTTCTGGGGATGGAGCTCAAGTCACTAGGTTTGGCCTTCAAGCATCTTTACCCACTGGGCCATCTTGCCAGAACACTCTGTTTTGTTTTACTTACATTTTAAAATTATATATATATATATATATATATATATATATATACATGTCAAGTGTGTGCATACCACGGTACATGTATGGGGGTCACACAACAACTTGCTGAAGAAGATTCCTCTCCTTCCACCATGTGGCTCATGGGGATCGAACTCAGGTCAAGCTTGGCAGCAGACACTTTTACTCTCTGTGTCACCTTGCTATGCTCCCTCTGTTTTTCTTTTCTTTTCTGTCCCGTCTGCTGCGCGGCCTGTGTCCGAGAACGTGCGGAGGGTGTCGGGGATTGACAACACAGAGACTTGTTCAACGATGTAAAGAAAACTTTAAGCAGGCCCCAAAAAGGTTCAAGAAAACTTCCTAAGAAAGGCTCCCACCAGAGAAGCTTCTGCTCTCTCCTCTCCCCTGGCTGGTTCTGCTCTCACCAAAAACTGATCTGGGCATGGCAGAAGAGGTGGTTAGTCTTTGGACAAGGTCGAGGTCAGGGTGGTTTCTTTGGGCAGGCCTTTTCCAGGAACTTAATGCCCCCAGGCATTGTATTGTTTTTAGTAAACATGTCTTACAGCTGCCTACTTCCAGGCAGAAGGGGAAGTGGGTCTCTGCTCAAGGTCTGGTGTTCCCACACTTTTCTTTTTTTCTTTTTGCCAAAAAAGGTCTCATTGGTTAGCCCTGACTGTCCTGGAACTCTGTGTAGACCAGGCTGACCTCAAACACACAGGGATCCACCTGCCTCTGCCTCCTACGTGTTGGCATTAAAGCAGTGTGTCACCACATCTGGCCTTCTCTGTTTTCTAAGACAGGGTCTCCCACTAATTCAGGCTGTTCTCGAACTTATGCAAAGGTCTTCCTTCTCCTTCCACCTGCCAAGTGCTGAGATTAGTGGCATGAGCCACTGACTAAATCTGCTATCTGACTCTTTTTTTTTAACCTCCTTCATCAGAAAATGGATTAAAAGGCACCTATAACCGTAAAGTACTTGCAACATTGGCTGTTTCTTTCTTGCTCTGTGTGATTCTGACACTGTGAGATCTCTTCTCAGTCTTCTCTTACTGCAGGAACAGAGTGCGAGCATACAGAGACCTTCCACACCCTTGGATTTTACTTTATCTCTGGAGAAAGGGAAAGCCGAGAGGGATTAAAGTAAAATAGAAGGACCCTGGCCAGGAGCCTCCTCCTGACTGGGCAGAGGTCATAGGAATCTGGTCACAGTAGATCCCCTGTGGAGTCGCTGAGAAGGGAGATCTGGGTTAGCACAGCCTACTGCCCAAGTGAGAGAGGCTCTTTGTGGGGAGGGCCCCTAAGGCTATCCAGCTAGCTGGGCTGAGTGTCTGTCCAAGTGGCAGGGGGAAAGAGGCTCCCAGAGGCCGTGGGGCACTGGAGTGGGTACTGCCGGCTACTGCTATGGAGTGGGTATGGGTAGTGGCTCCTGGCCTCAGGGTGGGAGGGTGCCGTAACCGGGCTGGGTGAGTACGAGAGAAGTTAGGGTGGAGAAGACGTTGCTAAGATGGGAGACCTGTGTGGGGCCGGACTGGAGTTTGTGGGTGCTGGGGGACCTCTGTCTACATGTCCCAACTCCATAGCCAGTTCTTTCCAGAGCACTCCAGTGAACATCAGCTTAGCTCTGGTGTTCCAGTGGGCTCGCCAACCCCAGCTTTAGGGCACTGCCTGAGAGAGGTCCCCATCCAGCTTTAGCTGCCTGTGGAATAAGTACGTCACTCCTCTAGGGTTCCGCCAGGGGCCAGCTCCTGTGTGCTTCCCCTTGGGAGAGCAAAGTTGGGCGCTGTGCTGACAAGGTTTCTGTCAACTTGACAGGAACTATTGTCACCTGAGAGGAGGAAACACTGAGAGAACACCTTCACAGACTGGGCTGTGGCAGGCCTGTAGGGCGTTTTCCTAATCAGTGATTGATGGGGAGAGGTCCGGCCTACTGTGGGTGGTGCCATGCCAGGGTTAGTGGTCCTGGGTTCTAGAAAGCGGGCTGAACAAGCCATGACTGAACAAGCCAGTAATCAGAGTTCCTCCATGGCCTCTGCATCAGCTCCTGCCTCCAGGTTCCTGTCTGTCAGTGATGAACTGTGAAAGTGTAAGTTGAATCAACCCTTCCCTCCCAAGTTGCTTTGGGTAACCCTAAGTAGGACAGGCACATTCTGGGGACCCCTCCTTTTGAGAACTTATCCCTCTCCCAGCACTCCAGGTCACTTCT